TCCGGAGCCGAGCCGAACCCTGCTTTTGGGCCGGCAGCTCAGCCAGATGGCCCTCTGCAGCAACTAAAGGAGGCTCTGCAAGTGGTCACAGACTCGACAGAAGAAATAGTGAAGATGATAGCCTCGCTTATGGCAAAACGTCCTCATCTGGACTTGCTTCCGGACATGAAGACGACCGTGGACCAGATTCACGACCGCCTCAACAATGGGGTCACTATTGTGACCAATGCTGCGCGAGAGACGGATCGCTCTCAATTTGTCACGCTGCACAACGATGTAGTAGATGTTGGCAAGGGACAGGCAGCGCTGGCTGCGGAGCACAAGCAGGTGCTAGCCCATACACAGGAGGCTGCACGTCTGCTCAAAGGCACCCATGGTTTGGAGCCACTCTTCCAGCACATCACCGGGCTGATGCAACTGGTGAAGCAGATGGGACCTAACCTGTCCCGTTTGATGGGCGGGGATATGACCGAAATTAAAAATGCATTGCAACGGGTAGAGGACCAGAATTCGGCGTTGTGCACGAAAATTAACGAATTTGATGCAAAGTTGAATAGGGCACTTGAGATTCTTGAGGAATTTAATCAACAGGCAACTCCGCGTGCGGAGGAGCCTGCTGAGGTTCCTAGCCCCGCACATCCGGCACAATCCCATCCCCCGTCCCGTGCCTGTGCCCCTAGTAGTCCTGCTCCCTCTCAGTCCCCTGATCTGCAAATCCCGCCTTATGTTCCTAATGTATCGCCGGGGGGCAACGCCCAACCATTGAATCTGGTAGCAGCCTTAGGAGGTGATCAACATGGCCGTCCGCAGTTGGGACAAGATCCTACTCAAGCCATGCACATGTTCATGGAAATGTGGCGTACGATGCATGGCACTCAGCCCCAAAGTCCTTATCGCTAATGTTTGATATTCCCCCGTTTCGGTCCTGTTATGTGTCGTTCTGTTGTTGTTCTTGCTCCAAGAAGTACGCACAGGCCAATGCATGAGAATATGAATTTGTTGCATGAAGCATGAGGGAGGTCCGTAAGTGATTCCCGCTATTATGCAAGAAATGCATGACATCCTCTGCCTGCACGACAGTCTAGTGACGCGTGAGAAATTCCGCCGGTAAAATCCCCCCAGCGTGAGTGAGTTCTTACTTCGCCTGGATCGCTCGAGTTAGTGCCATTTGCAGCCTTCAGCCTCAAAGTACTGGTAATGGGATATATATTTGAGACCTTGCCTGTGGCAATGCAGTTTGACATTGCGAATGGCCTAGATGAGGGTCTGCCTTTTCAGGTAGGCCTTGCTTTGGGGATCCTGATCTTCTTGCACGGGTGCGTTAGTCTAGGTCTGTGGCTTAGGAAAGTTATCCAACATTTGTATCAGTTTATGGTCACACATTTTGTGGTGTCGAGTGAAGTGGATCAGGAGAAGCTCGAAGCAGTTGCACGCATAGACCGTAGGGTTGCCAAACTGGAATACCAGCTTTACGATATTAAAGAATTCCTATTAAAGTTTGAAATTGAAATGAGGGACCTCAAGGCCACTGCAACGGAAGCCATTGAGCTACCCAATAATGTATGTGAGGTCTTGGTTGATATTGAGGACTCGATGAAAACCCTTGCTCCAAAACTCGACAGACTAGTGAGCTCTGTTAAACATCGTGTTGACAATCAGAATTCGGTACTGCAGTGCATGTACTATTCACTTGACGAGCACTTCATGCTGCTATGCGATGTCGCCAACATCCTAGAAGAGGCCATTGACCCCACCTGTCCCTATCCTTTCACCCTCAGACTCGCCAATCGCCCCAGAGGCCAGGGACCACGACCTAGGAACAGACAATATTACTAAGATGCATTAGCGCCCACAGGCAGCTCTGCTCGAAGTATACTTTCTGTTCCTGGTCCTAGGTATGAATGTGCACATGGCCACGTCTTGTCAGGAAGTGAGACGAGGGGTCATATGGGCACGGGAATTACATGACGCATTAATTGCCTTCCCGCCCGAACTCACGTATGTAGCAGTTTCCCGATTGCTCACCCGCCTACGACGTATGCGAGCGATCCTTCCCATTTTGAACTCCACTTGCATTCTCTGGCCATTTTGGTGTGCTATTTGGGATGTTTGCATTGCTATTCTGGTGGCACATGAGGAAGATCGCCCGGATACGTTGTCTATCAACGATAATAACATGTTATACCGGTGGGCTGAGAACACTGCAAGACGGATTTACATGAGTCTTGATGATTACAGTGGTATCTACTCGGGATGGAATCTACCCCTATCTTGGCCTAGTGGTGAAGTCCGTCCACTCTGCGAACGCATTTCGTTTGTCCCCAAACCTCTCCCTTCCCTTGAAGAGCACTATAGGCTCCTACACGCAGTACCACCAAGGCTCATGACAAGACAAGCAAGCTTCAACACTACACTTTAGTATCATGGCACTACCGCCCTCTGTGTTCCGAGAACGCTTGCTGTCGGAGCTGCGGTCGATGCCACCGGGAGTATCACGGGTAGCTGTGGATTCATTGTTTAGTCTTATTGCCCGTAATCGTCACACTTATCCTTTAGGCGGTTACTCTTTGCTGCATGATGTATTGATGGATGCTTCACCTTTCTGGCTGAACCCACAGAGCGATCCCGTGTCTCCCCGAATCAGAGAAAACACCGCTAGAGAAGTCAATGATTGGGTATTGTGGGTTGAGCGTAAGCTGTACTCTAGTGTGGTTGAGCTCTCGCGCTCAGAAGCTCCCGAAGTGAACACAAGCTCTGAGGATGAAGATCATATTTCCTGCACTGTTTACCACTCAAACTCTAGGTCGGTTGCTTCCCAAACCTCGTTATCCTTTGAGCTTGGTTCCAGGGAGCGAGAGCTCTCAAGCCACCATGGAAGCCCCAGCTGATTCGGGGACTAGCTCGGTAGAACAGATGAGGCGCTCTATCCTAGAGAGCTTTGACCGAGTTAGTGTAAAACACAAGGCTTCAGAAGACGGTGGTCAGGTTCTTCACCTGGGTTTGAATCCTAGGGACTTATCTAGGCTTACCTCGGCGACAGCCCCGTGCATGCACCTTCTTAGCCTGGTCACCGCCTTCCTTCATAACATAGCCCCAAATCATAAGTATAGCTCAGTGATAATTCGTGACAGTGCCGGCAAGGACATTCACAAGGACCTTAGGAACTCTCATTATCCTCAGGGAATTGTCCGACTATCTCCTTTTGAAAACGGTGGCCTCTGGGTTGAATCCCCCACTGGCTTTAGTATTAAATCGTATATGGGGGTCAACATTGCTGGCACAGTCTGCGATATCCCTGGGGACCGACTCCTTATGTTTAGCGGTAAACGTCTCCTCCACTGCACTGAGCCCTGGCTAGGGCGCCGGGTAGTCCTTGTTGCTTATACCCTCATGGGCACCATGTCGATCCCCAGGGAAATAGAAGAGAGACTGCAAGCTATAGGAATTCAGACACCAACCAGCAGCGAAATTGAATATTTCTTTCAACATCCTGTTGGGCCTGGTCAACCCACTCAGCGTAAACTCTCTTTTCGCAAGCGGACCGGTGTCTGGCAAGCTGGACGTCTCAACCTGTTGCCTCATGAACCGTCAATAGAGATAGACAGTCAAGAAATGGGTGATGTTGTTCAACTGCTTCCTCAATTTGGTGATTGTGTCTCTTCGGTTCCTCCCCATGAGACGGTTCATGACAGCGACTCGGCAGAGACCCTCATGCTTCCTAGGCTAGCGAGAGATGGTGTGTAAGGCACCCGTACATAGACTAAACCACAGCATAGATGTTCCCGAACAGACTCATTATTGTATAGACTCATGGTAGCTCCATGCCTTCTAGTCCAAACCACTAACCCACGCCCGCGCGCCATGGCCTGCGAGTGTCCACTGCGCTCTAGGCCTACGTCTGCATGCTGCAGGGAGGAGTATGCTCCCAACGATGGCAGAAACATGTTGTGTTCAGCTGTGGGCTATGGTGATGGCGTGCCCTAGAACTCACCTTGACTGCACCAGTGGAAAGCATTGCTCTGATGCGGGCAGTATGCTGTGCATGGATCGTGGCATACTGTTACAGGGAGAAACTCTGTCGGACGATGACTGGAATGAGCTGCATGACGCTGGGTATGTGGTTGAGTGCTTGCACTTTTGACAGACAAGCAACTGGCAGCGCTGAATACAGGTTGGGGCACTTGTATGTGCATGATTTACTGCATGAGTTGCATGTGGAGAATTCAGCCGAGCCAGCCTGGGCAGTTTGCCTTGCGAGAGTCTGCTATGCGCAACACACTCGAACACAGAATGGTGTTGGGCAATGGAGCACCTGATTGAGCACATATACTTTGCATGTTGCTCGCCGCCTGAAATTTTGCTGCAACTGGTCCCTGTGGAGTATATTGTGGCTGCACGAACTCGTAATTCGTTTGCATGCTCTGCAAGTGCATGGTACATGTATAGTCCACGCAAGTTCATGCCTCTCCATCGCCGTGTCGCCACGCTGTTTCACCCAGCCAGTAATGTGTTGTTGTTTGGGAATGCTAACTAGTGTATTCCGCTGTGATTGGTAATTGCCGATCCCCGGGACTCTTCATTCAGGATGAGTCTCTCTAGTGCAGATGTCTAGGCCCTTGCAGTTATAGTGTCTTGGACGTGTAAGGGCCTAGGCTGAGGAAGGGTCACTTCGCACAGTTACTTCATCTGTTCTCAAGCTGTGATAGTTTCTGATGCTCCCTCTTAGAGATGTCTCACTTTGTACGACTCCGAACCACATGCCTCGCCTGGATTTGTCCGAGTGTGAGCGCCGAAACTCTCTCTCGTGTGAGCGCCAAAACTCTCTCTCCCTAAACCCTATAAGCCCGAAGCAGCACGATTTCCCCAGACACATCGAGCTGGAAGCCTTGCCGTAAACGTTCAGTGCAAGCCTAGCAACACATCTAAAGCAGCTCCTTGGGGAGAGAAACGCAATATGTGTGCAATATGTCGACTTGGCGCCGTGTCTACTGTTTTGGCAGGTCCTCGACCACTACGGATCGAAAGAAGAGGAAGAAGAACGCTCGTGAATGAAAAAAGTGCCAGTCAGATACATCAGGGCTCCATGCGTACAGCATATGCGCAGCAACGCATTTGGAAATAGGTGGACTGCAGCCTTGGAGGCAGATCTGCAAAACTGCATGCCGCTAAGCCAGTAAGTTTGAACCGAATGTCATTATCAACGACTTCAAGAGGTTGAATAGACAGTTGTTCTGTTGCTTGCTCGGCTTCATTGTTTTGGAGCGGCAGACAGCCACAGCTGTCTGCACAACATTGTGCAATGAAGCTACTGCTTGTGCCTGAATGTCACTGCCTTCCTTGCTCTGCTTACCACGAGTCCGAAAGGCAAACGTCGTCTCAGGTTTTTGCTGGTTTACAGCTACCGCAGGCAGCACAGCCAACTCTGCGTTTGGTCAGTTCTGTATCAGGACTGTCGGACTTTCAGGCTGCGGATATCAGATTTCTGTCCGAGCTTATCGTTTGGCGGCATACTTGCATGCTCGTAGTATTGAGTAATGGGTCCGCGTTTGCCGATGTATATACATAGGTTGCATTCAGCGTTATAGATAGAAGTCAATAGGACATATCCACCCCAACAAGGAAGGTACTCATTATGATCGTGTCACATTCCTGGATATAAACTATGTATTGAATTCCAATTGCAATGACACTTGTATGTCTGTGTGTAATTATATGCATATATATATATATATATGTGTGTGTGTGTATGTTGTACACGTTGTAGATGTTACACATGTATATGTACATGTACGTGTACATACAATCTGTGTGTATATATATGTAATATGTATGTATGTGTGTAGATACAAATACACTTAATATACAACTTCGGTCCATGCGTGAAGCGTCCTACACATGATTTACACAGGATCCGCGCGAGTACTTGAGTTCTGCTTTCGAAAAACTGCATTGCAGCCGCATTACTGTACTTTGTAGAGAGTAGCCGCGGTATCCTTGTGGATCCCGCCTAGGCGTTGTGCTCCCGAAACAGCACCCGTCTTGGTGAGTTCTTCGTTGAAACATCGTCCCAAAGTGGCTCCACTTGGTCCGAACGCAGTGCTGCGGGCCAGTACTTGCGGCGAAAGCATATTGGCCGTGGTCTTGGATACGCCGGCGTTTGGGGGAAAACGGTCTTCCTGTGCTCCCGAGTCCTTCTTGAAGCCAGCCTGCACTTTTGTTGAAAGCCTTCGGGGCGCATAATAGCCTAATTCACGTGCGTCGTCGCGCCGCCGCGTCCCGCGTCCCGCGTCCCGCGGCCCGCGGCCCGCGGCCCGCGGCCCGCGTCCCCGCGTCCCGCGTCCCGCGTCCCGCGTCCCGCGTCCCGCGTCCCGCGTCCCACGTCCCGCGTCCCGCGTCCCGCGCCCCGCGCCCCGCGCCCCGCGTCCCGCGTCCCGCGCCCCGCGCCCCGCGCGCCTCCGCGGCAAAAAAAAACCTATACCGTCGGGGCGTGGTCTCGGTGGGCTCCTAGTGGTCTTTTAGGGTCTCCTGGTGGCCTCCTGATCGTACCGGCGTTTGCAGTCGTCGTGGTGCTTTCTCATTGTTTAGGGATCTGCGCTGGCATCAGTATTTTTTGGTTTTTTGTGTTTAAGCACACGCACACACCCACACACACTCACACACCTCTGATGCATATGTTTGTTTATATCCACAAGGGCATCTTGTGAGATCGCTGCACGGCTATGCCGGAAGGTCTTGTTTCGCTCAGTTCCTAGAAGAAGCACGACGGGTTACTCTTGGACTTTGTAGGGGGGGGCAATACTCAAAGTAAAAGCTACATAACTTACTTCAGATATCTTAAGATGTCGGTGACAAACAAGCTCAAGCTGATTGAGCCAGCACGTTACGACGCCGATGCCGCCTTTCTCGCCTCAGCGTACTGCCTTCTTGCCTCTTGCAACATCCGAGTCCATCAGTGATAGTGGGAGCGAAGATGAACTGGGTCTTTGCATGTCTCCATTCGCGGCATGCGAAGATGGCGATCTATCAGATGACTGGCAGGAGCTGGCGCAGAAGCTGAGAGAGGACTATCGCAAGGAATGCTTTGACGAAAACGGGCTGTTTTTGCGGTACGACAAAGATGACAAAAAGCAGGGCGGCAAGAGTGGCATTCGTACAGTTGAATGCTCCAAGGCTATCAAAGTATACGTGGACCTCGCCCCACAGGAGTTGAAGCGTGTGGATGACCAGAAAGAGCAGTTCAGCCTAATCTTCGTTTTGCAGCTCTGGTGGCTGGATCCAAACTTGAAGAACTTTCAATCTAAGCTTCATATCTCCCGGCCACTCGAGAGGGCCAATGGCCAGAGGTCGGAAAGGCGGGGGGAGTTTCAGCAACCTACAGATGATGATTTAAATCCTGCAGTACCTGTACTAAGGAATATATACCATAATTCCTATAGTCAAGGCCCGTTAAAGTAATGCAGGATATATATATATATATATACATATATATATATATATATATATCATCAATCAAAGGGGCATAAAGGGGCTCAACGAAAGAATGCTGTGATGGATGGTTCTAACTTAGGTCCCCTATTTTCTGAAGATTTTCCAGGTTTCTTCAGGAAATCGACATTGTGGTTCGGACGCTCCATGAGAATGGAGACTTGGTTTATGAGGAGCTGGAGACCGGTATGATATACGAAGCAAAGAAGTCTGAATATACATTTCTCCAACCGCCCAACTGGGAGGGGCATTTCTTCCCAGAGCATTCTTTCATCAACCAAGCGGACGCCGAAGAGGGCCAAGGCATCCACATGCAGAAGAAGCAGCTACTCTGGTGCGACGAGAACGGTGGCTTTGTGCACTACAAGGCTAAATGCGACCGGGTCTTCGAAGAGACTTTGGAACTGAGGAGGTTTCCGGTAGACCGCCAGCTTTGTCGTGTGAAGTTGACGGCAGAGATGCCTATAGAAGAGTTTCAGTTCATTACGATAGAGACCGCCGGTATCGATTTAGGATAGTTTCTAATTTCCCTTATTGTTCAAACATGCTATAAGAGAGAGAGACCTATTTGTGGACTCTTGAAATCGACACCCAGGACTGCTAGAAGGCTTGTGAAGCAAAACGACATGTGGGATACCGACAATGGTCCGGGAAGCCGCTCTGCCTGTGTCGTATACGTCCGGCATCCAGACCGCTTCTTGCCTGAGGGAAGGATGACGCAGAGGTCCCTGGTAAACCTGGTTTTGCAGATACAGCGCAAGCCGGACTTCTTCTTCCACAGTGTTTGGCTTATGGTCGTCCTGATCAACAGCATCAGCCTTTGTTCCTTTGGGGTCAGGCCGAGCCACCATTCTGGCCGCCTTAGCTTCCTTAGCACATGCTTCTTGGCTGTTCTTGCATATCGGTACATTGTCAATGACTCACTTCCGAAGAAGTCGTACATGACTTATGCGGATCAGTACATCATCTTCGGCTGCTTGATCCAAACAGCTCTCTGCGTTTGGACATTCATCCTCATGGCTTGGTGGCGCATATCATCAGACGAAGATGAACATGTAGAGCCAGCCGTGAGGGCCAGGATTGTCATGGCCGACGTGATTGTTGCAAGTATCACTGGATTTGCCCTCCTCTTCGTGAACTGTCATGTTTGGTGTTGGCAGAAGTCCGGCTGGTTTCGGCAAAGCTGGAAGGATGTGTACGATGACAACACGGAGCCGTTCTTTCCGATCGACGATTGTCATCACTGTGGGGAGAGGAGGCTAAGCAAGCAGTGCACACATGCAAGTGGCAGAGTCTTAGCAGAAGGGTGTGTTAGCTTTGAGCATTTGTTGGTGTATATAGCCCACATTATATAGCCGAGAGCTCGAATGTTTGGGGCTTATCAACACACTGAGCCGCTGAGGAAAGCAGTGCCAAACCTCGAACTGTGGAGCAAAAGGGAAAGATGAAGTCCCGACGCGTTACCTTACACCCATGGATGGCTTGCGTGCTGTGGTACCGTCGCTCAAGGAGCGCAAGCCGAGGGGGAGAGTCGAGACGTACTTGAAGACTCACTATTGAGCCGCAGTTTGGGAGAATTTGAAATGCTCGCTTCCGAACTCTCCTGACTTGGGCCCGAAAGAGGCTTTACAGCCGAACCCGCCATGGTGGCCCCTAGTCCTCAGACTCAGTCTTCTAAACACAGGAAGCACGCGAAGGAGAGTGCTCAGCTCGATGCGCCGCCCTGTCGAAGACAAGGTGCCATGAGTAGCTCCGGACTGGACTTGGTTCCAGCTTGTCTCGTTTAGGATTTCGGGCATGTAGGGCTTATACTTGGGCTTAATCTTGCTTAAGACGGTTTGGGGCCTATTTACAAGGTTTAGGAATCAGGATGTCGTGTTTGGTGTTTGGATTGCGCGAGTGTGTTTGATGACCATTTGAGCGCATTTGTTATCATGTCGTCAAGTCTACAGCAGCTAACTATACCACCTTTACCGTGACATGGTAGAGGTTAGCGGCAGAATCCTGCATCGTGAAACGATGGGATCTGTGTCTGGGAAACCGTGAGACTCGAACACGGTCTCAAGGAGCAGTAATTCATCACGGTAGGACAAGCATCGTATCGGGGAATCCTTATATTTCAACTATAGCGTAGCAGGATCGTTGAAGAAACCATGCCGGTTGAAGCTTTTGGTCGTTGGATTTCCGGGCACTTCAAGATGGACCTGCATACGGTTGAATCGCCCCTTAGGGGCATGCCGCTGTGCAACTGACGATGCAAAGACATGGCACGAACAAAACTATCGCATTGGACCCTCCAAGACACGAAATCAACGGACATTTATTCGAATCTTCGAGATGAGCTTTGCGCTTCGATCTCCATCGTGCAATTGACGATGATAGGGATGGGTCAAAATAAATACTGCTGAACACTATTGGTTTGGGGATTGACATAATCTTGAGAAATGCACATTTGTATCTATAGGTGATCAGGAAAAGGGGTATAAGATTGAATTCGACATCTTCGGAGAATCATAGAAGAATCTCATCCATAGAAATAATGATTTATAGATTTCGCATGTATCTATATCCTTTGGTCGTATTTCGATAAATTTGGTTTGGAATAGGGACTGGATATTAAGAATCGAATCTATAGAATATATTAGTATAAGATTATCGTATTTGAATTATAGAATATATTTAATATTTATATAGAGATAAATTCGAAAATCGATGAATATTTTTTTTATATGATATTAGGATTTCTAGTTCTAAATTAATCGATTCATATACTTTTCATTATCGAATTCTTTTCGTATATAAGGGGTGGATTTATCATGTATCGCGCGGTTTTTTTATAAATCGCACAGCTTTTACTTGTGGAAACTAGGACTCAAGCTAGTCCGTATGTTGTGTAGAATCTAATAAACTCGCTGTTCGACTAGGGTCTAGTTGGCGGATACTAAATATTCTCGCGTCTATATGGGGGATTTGCTGCGACTGATGTGTTCCCCGAGTGTATGTCTGGGAAATCGGGCGTCCATATAGGGAACTGCTGGTCTAGATTTGTTGCTACCGATGCATTTCTTGAGCGAGTGCTTGTAACATCCTGCGTCCGCATGGGGAATGATTTCATGAGAAATTTTCTTGTATCAGCTGTTGCTATCGAACAGGAGTCTCGGTCATAGTATTTGGTCATATTCAGAATCGCGAAGAAAATATATTCTAGATTGCATTGAAACTGCTTGAGAAACCCCGAAGTGAGCTTGTGCAATTCGGAGATTGCAAACAGCGTCCACAAAGGGGCTTGAAAGCAGCGTCTGCTTGGGGATGTGCTCTTTGTAACGATAGTGCATATACACGAAAAAGAGTCATAAGTGCACTCAAGACCTGGCGTCGGCCACATATGCGAGGATTTTGCACGTTCTTCACTGCTGCTGCAAACACGGCGTCTATATCGGGATTCGTATTCCCTGATGCATAATTTCGCCGTTGATGAATATTTCTTCTGAAGCAGCGTCTATATGGGGTGATGCATAATCCCGTCGGGTGATTAAAGATAAATCCACTGGGTTATAAGAGATAAAAAGAATAAATATATTCGTATATATATATATATAGCAGCTAGCTACAAGTAGAATTCATGCTCATATATCTTTATTTGAAGGATCGGATAATGATAAATATATAAATCTATTAATGGTGATGGTGATGAATGAATTGATGATCTTGTGCATGGTGTTGTCTGTGTTGCGCGTGGTGTTGTCGGTGTTGTGTTGGGTGGTGTGTCGTATGTGTTTATGTGAGTTGTGGATCGTATCTATTTTATTATATGAGATATGATTAAAATTAGTATTTATATATTTTAGTATACAGGGTAGTTATTATTTCAATACCCCGAGAATCGATAAGGGACGCGCTAAAACGATAACTCATAATAAGATAGATTAGCAGAAGCATGCGCCGTACTCAGATTTGAACTACCCCTCGAAGCGAAATAAGCATGCAAAATATTGCCTAATAGTCTGTGCTTACGGTAAAGCGACCGGTGCGGAAGCTTTCAGATATGTGCACGGAATATCTATCGATTCGAAGCTTAAACTTATATGCGGATTATTTCAGAAAACGATGTAAATCTGTGCGCTGAAAGCTTGTTCTATATATGATCTGCAGATTTTCAGGTTTCATATCAGATATGGATCGATAATTAGATCGATAACCGGTCGATACCTCAAACGCGTCAAGAACGTGCTAAATAACCCCATGGCTCGTTTAGGTACTTGTCGCAATTGAAAATATACTTGCGTACGAGGGTCTGGCCATATCATAGGGAAGACGCCCTGCTGCTACTGCTACTGCTACTGCCACTACCACTGCAACTACTACTACGACTATTACTACTACCATTACTACTACTACTACCACCACTACCCCCACCACCACCACGACGACTACCACTACTACTGCTACTACTAGTACTAACACTAGTATTAGTACGACTACTAGTAGTCGTCGTAGTAGTCGTACTAGTACTAGTACTAACTCCTCTCTTCTCTCCTGGAATTCGTCACTTGTACTCAGGAAACACAGTAACTCCCAATACATCTCATATAGCTTAATAAATCTACTTAGTCGTATGGTCCTTGCAGGTGCACGAGACAAAAATCTCGAAAATCGATAGGGGACGCGCTAATTCAAAATCAAAAGCAGTATGAATAAGTAATTTTGACGCCGACTCATATATATATATATATTCAACGTCTTGAATTTATTTCGGAACTGGAGTTTACGAAATCTTTGAAATCGGGAGGGATCTTGCAAGATATTCTGCAATTAATTACGTTTATATGGGATTTCTGCTAGGATTGGTCGAATTATTTCTTTGAGCTATATTTATGATATCTATAATGAAATATATTCTTCTCTTAAATCTATTTATATCATTCGAATTATCTTCTATTAGAACGAAATACCGATATTATCCTAGCGAAAGAAATTTCGAATATAAGATCTATGAAAACTGATATATATATATATATGATTTTTCGATTCTATATCTTTATATATAAAATATATAGAAGGACAATAGGGAGAGATATTCGCTATTTTATTTTTCATATTAGATTATAGATTCTTTTATTCTAGAAATCTTAAATTTTAATTTTTGGGGCCGGGCTTAGTCTTAAATTAGGAATCGGATGCCCGGCACTAGGTCCGATTCGTTCAGTTCATGCTGAAGATAGTCTAAAATAGGTTGCCAGATCTAGTAATAAGTAGGGGCAGGGAGATCCTTTATATGGTAAATATTTTAGGTTCGAGAAATTTCGGAATAAGGATTCATGCTAGAGTCGTTTTTTCTTCGTATAACCTGATAGTGGATCTCATAGAAAGTATCTAATATCGGTCTAATAATTTTTAAATCGAATTTGGTATATCGTGGAGATATATCCGACGAAAGTATTAGGAATATTATTATTATATATATATCTTGTCTTTTTAATCAATATGAAGAATTTTAAAATATCGAATAGAATAGCTTCCCTTTGAAATAATTAGATATGGGAGAGCGGGCCGGGAGAAGAATATAGTTATATTCTTCTTCGTCTTCTTTATTATCTTCGTCTTCTTTACTATTCTCGTATTCTTCATCCCAATCTTTTCATTTTCTATTTTCTTTATCATTATCTTCTTTATTATCTTCCCCTTCTTCTTCATCTCCTTCTAGCGGTCTTCCTCAAAATTCAGACTAGTCTTCTTCCCTATCGTTCTCGGATCCTCTCTCATTCTCGTATTTAGATAGACGCATTTAGATCTAATAAATGAATGTAAATATATATATATATATATATATATTGCCACTAACGAAAAGAATTGAAGAGTATATATTTCATTCGTATTTTTAAGAATTTTAATCGTATATTTTTTTTGTTTTTTTTTCTTTTTTGTTTTTTTGTCATTTTTTGTATAAGAAGACAAAAACAGAAAAAAAAAAAACCAATAAAAATTTTGATTTCGATCTTCCGAGATTTCCAATCTAATATTTCTCCCCCCTCTCCTATGACGAATACAGTAGAGTAGTAGTAAGAGATCCTTCAAAATATCCCTGTTTTTTTTTTTTTTTTTTTTATTTATTTTTTTTTTTTTATTTTTATTTTTTTTTTTTTTTTTTTTTTTTTTTTTTTTTTTTTTTTTTTTTTTTTTTTTTTTTTTTTTTTTTTTTTCTTTTCTTTGTTTTTTTTTTTTTTTTTTTTTTTTTTTTTTTTTTTTTTTTTTTTTTTTTTTTCTTTTTTTTTTTTTTTTTTTCTTTGCCTTGTTACATTTTCTTTGTTTTTTTTTTTTTGTTTCTGTGACTTTCTTTTTTTCTACATCTTTATTTCTCTTTTATTTTTCAGAATTCATCCCTTATTCAATAAGATTTCTGAATCAAATGAAAAAAATAGAAATATATATATATATATATATATATGAAAAATCGTAATATATAATATAATTAAATATATTCTAAAAATATATCTTATTTAAATAGTCTTTATCTAGAATCTTCCCGACAAATATTAAAATCTCATCTTCAGAAAATTAGA